CGTCTAATTGCAGTCAGGAAGTATATTGATTTTTTTTTTTTTTGAAAAAAGCCTTCTTTCAAAGTATGGCAACTCTTTGGTACATTCTATATCGATTACAATCACCTTTCTTCACAATCCACTGAAAAAATAATTTCTATCTCTTCTTACGTTACGGCTAGGTCTGGTGAAGATACCCCTTTTGTTACCACCTCAACTCATTCTGAATAATAAACAAAATTATAAAATAGCTTTAAGCAAATTATATATATTTTTTCTTTGCCGTTCAAGAAAACTATTCCAAAAGTGGATCATATGTTCCTATTTCACCTAAATCTGAAATATAAGCGTGATTAAAATATAGCTTTTAGCCATCTTTCGAAGTTCAAAAGAACTATGAAAATAGTGAGTCATCTGTGTGCTTTTCTTCTTTCACTCAAACTTGCAAAATGATTGGATACCTCAAAGTTTATACATGGTAATGCAATCACTACCATATGCATCCAATATTATACATTATAAAAATGAAAGCAGGTATTCCAAAAGTGGATTAGTAAAGTGCCTTAAAACTATGTACTCAGCAACTACAAGATATGATACATGTAGTACATTCGTCTTATTGCAGATAGAAAGTGCATTGAATTTTTTTTTTTGTAAAAAAAATCCTTCTGTAAAAGTATGGAAAATCTCTGGTACATTTCATATCGATTACAATAACTTACAGTACCAACCAGACCCAACCTGACACCTAAGCAGTCCCAGAAAGCAGTCCCCGGGACTGCTTTGGGACCGCTGTGGGACTGCTCTGGGACTGCGAAAGACCCAGCAGTCCCAGCAGTCACTTGGACTGCTTTCTGGGACTGCTTTGTTCACTCATGCATGACAAAGGTTCTGAGTGACATGATAGCTCCGCCTCTTGTGTTTTATGAATTTGCAGCTCCCTGTTGTTGTTTTGTTTACTTTCTGCAGAGAGGTGTTAAGATAAAAAATAGAAAAAGAAGTATTTCTTACAAATATTAAATAAGTAGAGTTAGTTATACATGTAATTACTAAATGTCTTCAGGTGCTGTAAGTTTGCACAAATGTACTCTAGAATTAATTTTTAAAGGAAAGTAAATAAAAAGGGAAGTCAGGGGATAATTTTTATCCCTTAAATTAAACTTTAATACAGGTGTTTGAAAAAAAAATATCTAGGCCTATTTAATAAACTAATGCTGTCAAATTATGTATTAAAAGTTTGCATTGGCAATATTAAAAAAAAAACAAACAAAAACAAACTTGTCATTTCAATAAGACATTCTGAGGGACGTATATGTACTGCATTTTTTTCTTAATTGAAAAAGCTAATACCATACTTAAAAAAGAGTACTCCATGCTATTTTTTACCGCCCTCAAATAAACCTAATAATTTATTAAATGACCATAAAATAAAATTATTCTACCATTCTTCTGTCACATAAACAATGTGAACAATTATTGGGGGATTTATTTATGAATTAGTTTTTAATTTACAAACAAGTTATTAAAAGAGTACATTTATATATATTTAAAAAATAAATATTTGAAAATATCGGGAATGTGACTTATTTCTTATTTGTTTTGTTTGTGTTTACCTGACCGATTAATAAAAAGCAATACAATTGTATAAAATGGTGTCAACACCTGAAGTTTCGATCGCCTTTGGGCATAATTAGCAGAAAGTCAATGCATGTTATTTGGGTATCACTGTCATCACTGAACACGCTGGTCAACAATGACACTAAGTTCAATCTATGTACTGCAAAAAAAACTTTGTTTCAATAATTGTGTATAAATTTATTTCGGGATTAATTAATTTTGAACATAATCTGAGGGTTCCATTCGCATGATTTACAGATGTACACTCGAACATTTATATAATAAAACACTTAAAACTGAGAATCTAAAGATAATTAAATTTGCAAGTCATTGAAAATAATCATGACTGAAATATAATACTCGGCAATATTTATCAAAGAATTTTTCCAAAGCTCTAATACTTAAGGAAAATGCATTTAGAGTATAGTATGGGAAACGGCCTTGCTCTATAATTGTAAGATCTATTTAAAGCTAATTCTGGTAGAAAATAAACAATTCAAATTTAATTTTCTATATAAAAAATAAATAAATATGAAAACCAATATCAAACACAGAAAATAAAGAAACTGATTTATTTTGGTCAAAAATATATACAATGTATACCAAATAATTGTGTTTAAATATTCATGTTTTTAATAGGTGTGAACATCTTCTTTCAATAATTATTATTTGTTTCAGAACTGATTGTCGCGTAAGAATTGTAAATATTTGTTGATACTACTCAGAAAGAAATGATCATCAATTTCAACTGCCTTTTATAGTTACATTGTTTATTGGTAATATCATTCTGAGTAAGCTCCGCCCATGAAATTAATTAACCCCGCCCACTGGGACTGCTTTCTGGGCCTGCTGGGACTACTTTCTGGGACCGCTGGGACCGCTGTGGGTCTCCTGTGGGACTGCTCTGGGACTGCTGTGGGACTGCTTTAGCAGTCCAAGAAAACAGTCCCCGGGACTGCTCTGGGACTGCTTTGTGTCAGGTTGGGTCTGGTTGGTACTGTATCTTTACAATCCACTAAAAATTATTTTCTATTTCTAACTTAGAAGACGGCTAGTTCTTGTGAAAAGATCCCTTCTATTACCATCTCACATCATTACGAACTATTTACAAAATAATTTAAAAAAAAAAGCCTTTTCACAAATTTTATATATACTTTTCGACGTTCAAGAAAACTATTCCATATGTGGATCATCTTACTCACAAACTAGCAAAATACATGGATACTTCATGGCTGATAGGAGGAGGTATAATCAGTGGTATGTGCATCTTATGTTAGACAATATAAAATGATTATAGGTTTTGGTTTATTTGTAAGTTGGTTAACGTCCCTCTCGAGAATTTTTCACTCATATGGAGAAGCCACCATTTGCCCTTGGAGAGCTGCAAATTTTGTCCTTTACTCGGCACTTACGGCCATTGTGCAGTGAGGAATCTTTTTCGTGCTAGCACCTACTGCGACACGGGACCTCGGTTTATACGGTCTCATCCGAAGGACAGGTCTCCACGACCCACAGTGGGAATCGAACCCGCGACGTAAGGATCAACTCCTTACTTCGCGACTCTAGAGCAGACGCTCTAACCACTGCGCCACGCGGGCGACAAATGATTATAGGTATTCAAAAATTGTATCACTATCATGTCTTAGAACTATAACTGCTTGCTTGCCTACTTTAAGGTTGATACATGGTGATAAAATAAGTGGTAAGTGCATCCAATATGATACATTATAAAGATGAAGGTAGGTATTCCAAAACTGGATCAGTAAAGTGCCTTAAAACTATGTACCGTGCCTTAAAACTATGTACTCAGCAACTACAAGATATGATACATGTAGTACATTCGTCTACTTGCAGATAGAAAGTGCATTGAAGTTTTTAGTAAAAATCCTTCTCTAAAAGTATGGCAAATTTATGTTCCATTCCATAAAGATTACAATCACTTATCTTTACAATCCACTATAGAATTATCTTCTATTTCTAACTTAGGAGACGGCTAGTTCTTGTTAAAAGACCCCTTCTGTTACCATCTCACCTCATTCTGAACTTTAAACTAAGTAATAAAATAGCTCAACAAATTTTATATATATTTTTCGACGTTCAAAAAAACTATTCCAAAAGTGGATCATCGTACATTGAAACTAGCAAAATACATGGATATTTCATGGCTGATAGGAGGAGGTAAAATCAGTGGTATGTGCGTCTTATGTTACACAATATAAAATGATTATAGATATTCAAAAATTGAATCACTAAAATGTCTTACAACGTTGTAGTCTACAGCCGCATGATATGATACTTGTCATACATTTTTCTAATTGAAGACGACAAATGCATTAATATTTCGTTCGAGTTTTTACTCAATTGTTGATTCTATATCGATTAGAGTAATCTTTTTTTCAACATTCCATTGAAAGATTATCTTCTGTTTGTACCTGAAGGGGCGACTTGTACTTGTGAAGAGAACTCTTCTTTTACCATCTCACCTCATTCTAAACTAAGTTCAAGAAAAATATTGCAAAAGGGGATCATCTGCATGACTTTGCACTTACATTCAAACTAGCAAAATACATGCATACTTCATGCATACTTCATAGTTGATGCAGGTGATAAAAAAAGTGGTAAGTGCATCCAATATTATATATTATAAAAATGAAGGTAGGTATTCCAAAACTGGATAAGTAAAGTGCCTTAAAACTATGTACCGTGCCTTAAAACTATGTACTCATCAACTACAATATATGATACATGTAATACGTTCGTCTAATTGCAGATAGAAAGTGCATAGAAATTTTGAGTAAAAAATTCTTCTCTAAAAGTATGGCAAATTTATGTTACATTCTACAAAGATTACAATCACTTATCTTTACAATCCACTAAAGAATTATCTTCTATTTCTAACTAAGGAGACGGCTAGTTCTTGTTAAAAGATCCCTTCTGTTACCATCTCACCTCATTCTAAACTGTATATATTTTTCGACGTTCAAAAAAACTATTCCAAAATGGGATCATCTTACACTGAAACTAGCAAAATACATGGATACTTCATGGCTGATAGGAGGAGGTAAAATCAGTGGTACATGTATGTGCTCCTTATGTTACACAATATAAAATGAGTATAGGTATTCAAAAATTGAATCACTAAAATGTCTTTGTAGAACTTTGTAGTCAGCAACCGCATGATATGATACTTGTCATACATTAATCTAATAGAAGAGGCTAGTGCATTAATATTTCGTTCAAGTTTTAAATCAATTGTTCATTCTATATAGATTAGAGTAATCCTTTTTCAACATTCCATTGAAAGATTAACTTCTGTTTCAAGCTGAAGGGGCGACTTGTACTTGTGAAGAGATCTCTTCTGTTCCCATCTCACCTCATTCTAAACTATAAGGAAGATTATAAAATAGCTTTAAGCAAATTTTATATATTTTTCGAAGTTCAAGAAAATTATTGCAAATATGACCATCTGTATGGCTTTTCGCTTACACTCAAACTAGCAAAATACATGCATACTCAGTTACTACAAGATATGATATATGTAGTACATTCGTCTACTTGCAGACAGGAAGTGCATTGAAATGTTGTGTAAAAAAAATCATTCTCTCTAAGTATAGGAAATCTATGGTATATTCTATATCGATTACGATATAAAAATTACGTACAATCACTTATCTTTATAATCCTCTGAAAAATTATCTTCTATTTCTAACTTAGGAGACGGCTAGTTTTTGTGAAAAGACCCCTTCTGTTACCATCTCACCCCATTTTGAACTATAAACAAGAGTATTAGATAGCTTTTTAGCAAGAAAACTATTTTTAAAGTGGATCATTTGTATTGCTTTGCTCTTACACGCAAACTTACAAAATATTATCATATGTCACGATTGATACATGGTGATGAAATCAGTGCTATGTGTATGTAATGTTATACATTACAAAAATGAAGGTAGGTATTCCAAAACTTGATCACCAAGTGCCTTAAACCTATCTATTCAGCAACAGCAAGATATAATAAACGAAGTACATTTTTCTAATTGTAGACTGAAAGTAAGCTAAAATTTCGTACAAAAACTCCTTCTTCTAAAGTATCTTAAAATGTATTGTAGATTCTATGTCAATTAGAGTCATCTTTTTTTCAACGATTCATTTCAAGATTAACGTCTGATTGACATCTGTTTCTTGCTGAGGTGGCGACTTGTACTTGTGAAGAGCCTCTTCTATTAAAATCTCACTTCCTCTGAACTAAAAACAAGATTTCAAAATCGCTTCTAGCAAATATTATATATCTTTCGACGTTCAAGAAAACTACTCCAAAAGTGGATCATCTGTATGGCTTTGCTTTAACACTCAATCTTGCAAAATACTTAGATACTTCATGCTTGATTCATGTTGTTGAATTCATTGGTCTGTGCATCCAATGTTATACATTATAAAAATGAAGGTAGGTATTCCCAAACCGGATTAGGTATCTTAGAAGTATGTTCTCAGCACCAGGAAGATATTATTTGTGCAGTACATTCTTCTAGTTACAGACAGGAAGTGCATTGGAATTTTGTTTAAAAAATCCTTTTCTTAATGTATCTTGAATCTGTTTTAGATTCTATAACGATTAAAGTCATCTGATTTTAATGATCCATTCAAAGATTAATATCTATATAGCTTAGGAGACTGCTTGTTCTTGTGAGGAGTCCTCTTCTGTTGCCATCTCACCTCATTCTGAAATATTAGCGTAATTTGAATAAAAGCCTTTAACATTTTTAAAAAATATATTTCGAATTTCAAAAAAAAAAAAAAAAAATACTCCAAAGGTTGATCATCTGTATGGCTTTGCTCTGACACTAAAACCTTCAAAATACTTGGATATATCATGGTCGATAAATGGTGATGAAACAAAGTGTTTATATTCTTATTATGTGAAGTACTACAAACAGATTTGTTTATATAGCTAATAGCTATAGCTAATGTGAAAAATTTGAAAATTTCCATAAAACTTTCATATTATTTTATCAAAGCTACCATAAAATTAAATTCTTCAATGTCATGTGCATAATCCGAAATAAAAGAGAATAATAATGAACATAAATATTGCAAAACTTGATCAACTGAATGATTGAAGAATGTATGGTAAGCAAAATGAAATGTTATGCCTCTAAATTTCCAAAGACATGCAATAATTAAATCGAACGTTTTCTGTCCAAAAGCCCTAAGGTATATTGCATATGTATCTACAATAAATGATATATTGCTGCTGTAAAAGCGTTCATTGAAATGTAAACCAACTTATGTATTTAACGTATCCTATGGCTTAAGAGAGAGATAAAACCTCTCAAGTGGCCTTTTCTTTTATGGAATTTGCAATTATATGATTGTTTTTAAACTTTTCAAATGAAACTTCTAACAAATTTCAATTCAGGTATATTCAACTTTGAAAAGAATTCTAGAAAACTATTCGAAAAGTGGATTATCTGAAAGCTTTTGTACATCAATGTCACATTCAGCAAAATACTTCGACCTTTCGTGCTTAAAACCTAGTGTTGAAATAAAATGTGAATATCGTTACAATAGCAATGACGAAAAACATTCCGGAAACAATTCTTTTTTTTTATTTTTTATTTTATCATGCTATCAACAAAAAAAAATATTTATTTGAGGCAGGTTTCAAGCCTATGTGCATCCAATGTTATACATTACACGTATTTATATAGGTATTTCAAAACTGGATCAATTAAATGCCTTAGAATCATGTAGTCATCAACACCAAGATAAGACACATATAGTATATATTTATAATTATAGACAGGAAGTCATTAAACTTTAGTCTAAAACGTTCATCCTTTAAAGTATGGTAAATGTATCGTAGATTCTAAATCAATCAGAATCATACTTTTTATACAATCCATTAAAAAGATTAACTTCTGGTTCTAGCTTAGGAGACGGTTTGTACTTGTGACGTGATCTCTTCTGTTACCATTCCACCTCATTCGGAGTTATAAACATGATCAAAATTTGGCTTTTAGAAAATTTTATTACATCTTTCAAGAAAATTATTCCAAAAGTGGACCATCTATATGCCTTTGTTCTTAACACTATAACTTGCAAAATACTTGGTTACTTTATGATCGTTACAAAGTGATGATATAAAAAAAATATATCAGTATAATGTGAAATACTACAAACAGATAAAAATACAACCTGTACAGCTAATATGAAAAAAAATCAAAGTTTCCAATAAACCTTCATATCATTTTTTCAGAGAATAAGCTACCATATGATTAACTTCTTCAATAGCATGTGCATAATCCAGTATAAAACATAATAATGATGATATTGGAAAAACGATCAATTCAATTCCTAAAGACTATGTAGTGATTAAAATGAAAATGTTATGTCTCCAAATTTCAAATGACATGCAATAATTCAGTTGAACGCTTTCTGTTCAAAGGCCCTAACGAAGGTATGTTACATATGTATCTACAATAAATGATATTGACAAACTTTGATGAAACAAGAATATCAGCAATCTCGTTTAAAGTTATCAATTCATAAGTTCAATGGTCGATACAATGAGCTTGTCAGCAAATTCAATCTTTCATTAAGTTAAATGCTGACTGACTTTAATCATACTATTTGTTAGACCATTATTTACACATTTAATTGTCGAACGATTTTTCCGTTATTTCCTAATCCTGACAAGGCTGCTTACTCCTCCATGGCACCTGATGCCACCTCTGATGTCTTAGAGGTCTCGTGTTTGCTTTGCTCCTATTTTGTAATGTTTAATGGACATTTGAGCTCGAAAACTGTTATCTCCACAGACTTCATCGCTGTATTTAACGATTACTTCAGCCTACGAGAAATATGGAGATAACTAATAGTAATCAAGCTCAAAAGTCCATTAAATCAATACAAATAGGGAACAGGGCAAACACTGGCCTCCAAAAACATCAGAGGAGGGATCAGGTGCCATGGAGAAGCCATCCCCTGTCAACCAGTAACACCCGCCGTGTCCTCCATCTCTCTATCGGGCAAACGAAGAAATTCGGAGATATTTCAGTATGTAAAAAATAGCCTAACAATTAGTATGAAAAACGTCAGTTAGCATTCGACTTAATGATAGATGTCTTTGCTAACAAGGTCATTGTATTTACCATAGAACCTGCGAAATGTTGACTTCAGAAGAGACTGTTGATATCCTTGTATCATTAACTTGTTTGTCAATAACTTGCCTCGTTTTAAAAAAATGTTCGTACGTATTGCATGTTATTGCGTATCGAATCAGCTAGGAGACAAAAACTCCATATGCAGGTGATAAGGGTATATTGCTATATAAATAAGGGAAGTTGCCGATAGAAAACTTGAAACCATCACGTTCTTCAAGAGTCACAGTTCTCATCACAGTTCTAGAGTACTGTGTTTATAGATAGGTTTGTACACTCTAGGTGTGCCAGTTGGAATTTGGTGTCTGTTTCTCTTATCATTTTGAAACTTAAGATTGATAACATATGCTTTCTGCAATACTTATAGTCTTAAACCAAAAGAGCGTGCAATATACGTGTAGGTATTCCAAAAGTGGAATTGTTTTGATTCATTTGTAATTTCAGTTTCATCCAAGACCTACATTCAAACTGTACTCTTCAAATATTGCTAAGTTGTGATTTATTATATATGATAAATTACGTGGATTTTTCTTTATCTGTAGACGCGCATTCAACCAATGAAACGTGTTCGAAATGACTATTTAAAAAATAAAACGTTTTGAATCCTTTGTACTCCACACATACTTCATGTGCAATGTCAAAAGAATCCAAGCTGTCAATAACATTAATGATATATTTCATACAAGAACTACAATCAAAGTGTACTGTCCAAATGTTGCTAAGTTAAGTGAATTTTATATATATTTGTTCAAGTGGATTTTTCTCTCTCAAAAATCATGTACATTCAAGAAACATGTTAAAAATTAATATTCAAAAAAAAAAAAAAAAAAAAAAAAAAAAAAAGAATTGTTTTGAATTATTTGTTCTCAATAGACTTCATGTGCAATGTCAAAAAAATCAAGCTGCCAATAACATTTATTAACTCTTTCATGGTTATGCATGTCTTTGTTGAATGCCTTCCATCCAAAACTAGATCATTTGGCTGCCAATGTAGTTATAAAAGACAAGGTAAGATAATTTCAAAAGCTTTTTTATATCATAATTGAGCAATAATAAAACTGCACCGTAAAATAAACTTGCTTAGTTTAGTGAAGACGAAATATATCACGTGAACTAATTTTCAACATCTGTAGACGTGTGCAGTCAACTCATGCAAAAGTCCAAGGAAGGAGAGGAACTTAATAAGTTATGTAGAACATGATTTCAATCCTTTTGATGTACTCAAGAAAATATGTTCAAAACAAACCAAAACAAATGATTTATATTACGACCCCTGGGTCGAGGCCTGTGTTGGTGCACTGTTAGTCCCCGTGGGTCTCTGCAGCCAAGTAACTAAGAAATTCAATACTACGAGGGGTGATCAAAAAGTTCGCGAACTATCTCTATATTTAGAAAACCACAATTCAGATCAGAATGAAATTTGGCACACATATAGTCATACACATGTTCTATAAATAGCAGATGTTAAATAATGTTTTGCTCCGTGTTTGTGACGTCACAATGTGAAAATGACGTCAGTATGTAGGTCACTTGTGACAAAAAATGGTTGACTCAATCGTACTCAAGCAACGAACGGCTGTAAAGATTAACGTTTATCTCGAAAATTCCTTTGCAGTAGAAAATGATAATTTGGACAAGGTTTATGAAGACAAAAGACTTACCAGAAGTTCAATCATTAATTGGATTGAATGTTTTAGTGAAGGCAGGGAGATGGTTAAAAATGATGTTTGTTCTTTTGCCCAGCGAAAGCAAGCCGGTAAAAAGATGTGTCCTTAGTTAAGCAATTTGTTTTGAAAGATCGCCAAATAACAGTAAGAAAAATAGTTGAATATCTGAGCAATAATATAATTATTAAATCCCTAAAATATCGTTTAATTTAGACTTTAAACATATGAGATATGAAAAAATGAAGGCGCACATACTTTTTTCCACATTGGCTAAATGACGCTCCTGAGACAGAGGACTCGGGTTGTGATGGTCGCCATGCTTATTCTGGGAGAGGATATCCTTACCCACCCATCCTATTGCCAAGATTTGTCCATTTCTGACAGATGGTCTGTTCTTGTTATAAAAAGTTACTTGCATGGTAAGAAATATAAGACTCGAAAAAATCTCTTAGCTTCCGTGAACAGACCGCTACGAAGCATGTCACGTGACTGCCTGGATCATGTGATTCGCGCATGGGCAGAACAATGGCAGATGTGCATTAAAATCGGAGAGGACTACTTCAAAAATAATGAACACTAAAACCTCATTTTATTTCTTTTAAGGAAGTAATTCTATTAGTTCGCGAACTTTTTGATCACCCCTCGTTGTTAGAAAATATAAATATTTAATTGTTGTGGTTAAATTTGGAAATTTATTTCAAAATTAAAGATTATCTCCCCCATGCATTGCTCTGATCCTTCGATGTATTTGGCTCCAGTCTTTGGCACCCCCTTTTTCAGCTCTTCAATTTTTTTAAATAAAAATATTTCAGATTTCCAACGTTTCGGCATGAGCATCACTGAAGATACATAATTTGTCGAAAAGCTCATCTGGTGCATCAAAATTGGTAAC